AAATTTATTGTCATCTAAGAAAGCTTCTCCGGCACCAAAACTCAAAATCAAATAATCAGTGACACACACTAGCATACCACTAGGGTTTTGCTTGTAGGAAGACAGGGAACCCCGTAGGATTAGTTAAAATCCATTAGTCATAGAGACTAAGACCTGCGCTTAGCAGGATTTGAGGTTTAGTGCCTGGCTCAATACACCATTTAAGGACACAACTCAGTCCAGCGGGCAATTATAAAGTTTAATGAAAATGACATTGTCTATTATAAAAATCATAGGAGTAAGGAATTAGATAAGAAGTACAAAGAACGAAAAGGGATAGTATTTATCGGAAACAAAGGATGATGGGTGAAGCTTGAAAGTGAAAACAATTTTAGACATGTTAGTGATTTAAAATTGTAAGAGGGTAGAATGTGGTATTGCAACCACATGTTAGTTTTAGATAAGAAGTTTATTATAAAAATGACTTTGTATTTTAAACCAATCCTTTTGTAGTGAAAAAACTTTGATAAATTATTAAATAAAAATGTGAGTTATTTTTAAAACCTGCAAGGAACAGACGGCAACGATAAAGTCTTAAGCTCATTAGAGTATTATTACTTTAAGACTAGTCGCATTTTTTTGCAGCACGCTACTAATGATAAGCCGTCGTCAATAGGGAGTTGTGGTCTCATTATGGGCACTCTTCGTGGCAAAACAAATAATGTCGCTGAAGGATTTCACCCAAAACCGAATAAAACCACCAATAAATGTATTTCTGGCTTTGAAAAAATATTATATGTCATTAAATAGATTTAAATTTTTAAATAAAATTGAGTTGACTAGGTTACTTTTAAGAGAAAATCCTAAAAAAGAAATATATATATAATCCAAGAAAGTAGCATTAAGAGACTTTGGTGCTTGCATAATGCCAATTTAATTACATTAGATGAATTGTTACATGGTTTAGGGGGAGCAATTAAATATTTGATTTTTTTTTGGGGGGGTTTGCTTTTTTAAAGGTAAAAAAATTAGGCATTTTGGGCCTTATCAATTTTTTTTACAAAAAGATGTCAACTTTTAAAAAATTATTGAAACATTAAATTTCTGTTATTTATCAAACGATTATTTTATTAAAATGATTTTTATTAGCCTTTTCTTTGGTATCAGGCAATTTCTATTTGTAAACACCAATCCCTTATATATTGCATAGTTTTTACAAAACAAGCAAATTCTGTTCTTTTTCATTAATTAAAATGGCTTCTGTTGAAATAATATTCATTTAATTTGTTTTTTTAACTTGTATTTTCTTTAATATTTTTTTACTTGATCTTGTATCAGAGCAAAACATGAATTATATTTTATACATTAAAAGTATTTAAATTTTTAATATTATTAGTAAATATGGTAATGAAATATTTCACCTTTGAAACCCATTAAAGTATGGTTTATCTTTGAATCACAGTTCTCAACAACTTTAAAATACTTACTTTTTCTAGTATTCTTTTTTCAGCAATCGCCCGTTACTTTTGTTTTGCTTTAATTAAAATTTATAGGGGTTTACTTAAAACTCTTACTACCTCTTTGATAATTTTATTCCATCCCCCATTGAGTTTGTAATTCTTGGAATACCATCCAAGATTCTATTATAAACATTCCAAAATTTAAAAGTTAATCAAGGTTTTTTAAAAATACTGTTATCAAAGCCACCAACTCCAATATAAATTTTCTTAAAATAATTAATAAACGATTTCTGTTCCGCGTGTTTATTTTTATCATTAATCTAAGTACCACTTTTATTAAATTTAAGTTTAACGTTATTACAAGGAAAAAAGACAAGTGATAAAAACATTTTTAAAAACAAAACGACTTTTTTGTATTTCCCGATTAAACCTAATCTGCCTACATTTCGCCATACAGCTTGACTAAAGTGAAACGAACATTCTCTAATTTTAGTAGTTGGAAAGACACCTTTAAGTGATGTAATAACTGCTATTTCAAAACTAACAACAGGATATTCAGCCAAGTTTCAATTAATTGGTTTTTTTAATTGAAAAAATATTATTATAATCCAATGTCGTTCTATTATTTATTAATATTGTTATGAACCCGCGTTTATTGTTAACACATTAGATTGTATAACATATAACTGTTTAAAATCTGTCTGTGCAACATAAAACGTTTTATCCATAATCCAATATTTACATCTGATAGTATTAAAAGATTTTCGGATTCTGCACATTTTCTGCCCCCGAGGGGCAGAAAATGTGTATAATTATTTTTTTGAAAATAGCCCTTAAAATGAAGAATCGTGCGTCCCAAATTAATTGGCTTTTAAGAATTGAGGCTTTTGATGTTAATACTATCATAAATATTTTACGAACCAAAACACTTTTGTCTAACAGTTTAAGGCGTCTTTGTTGTTCTTAAGAAAGTAAAAAAGGAGACATTTTCGATGGGAAGGCTTGGGTATGCAATAACATAATATGCACAAAACATAAAACAAATCTAAGTATACGTTATAATTCTTTTTTCGCACTTTAATTTGGGCTTAACAGATGTTTGACATTAATTATTCTCTGGCTTGAGGATGAGAGTATTACAAAAATTACTCAAAATTATGGGATACACAGAAACACCGTCAGCAAAATTTTTTTAAAGCTTCAAGAATTGGTCGCTACACATCATCAGGATAAACTGATATGCTTGGGTGGTTAAAGAATAATTTGTCAGACTGATGAATCTCTGTTTTCTTATAGGCAAAAATATAACGTTGGGCGTGTTCCAGACACACAAATTTGGGTCTTTGGTATCGTTTATACAAGCTCTAGACCCGCTTTGGGCCACATGCAAATTGTAGATAATAGATCTAGCGTGACTCTTTTGTCAATTATTGATAAAATTTGCTTGCCAGGAACCATTATACACGGCGATGAATGGGCAGCACAAGGAACATTGACAAGATTTTAGGCTATTAATATTTAACAACAAACCATTTACTAAATTTTGTAAATTCAACAAATGGTCCGCATACGCAACATGGTGAATCATATTGGGTTATGCAGAAACTTAAAATCAAAAAATGAAAGGCTGTAGACGTGAACGGCTGTCTTTATTGTTATCTTAATTTGTATAAAAAGATTTTTATCGTAGTACTAAGTAGGTTGGATTAATAGGTTTGTTGAGTTTATATTTTAAAGTTTTATTTTCCTAAATTATTTAATCCTTTGTTGTTTTTAGAATATGATAATTTTTAACAAAAATGTTTAAATCTATATAAATACTTTTTGTGATATTTTTAATCTCTGTGTGCATATTCTTTAGTTAAAATAATTTTTTTCCTTTTAGTTGCCTTCGTCGTTTTAATGTTTAGGGGCAGAAAATGTGCATATTTCCGATTTTCTCTAGTGCAGAAAAAAAGAATTCTGCTAGGATCATTTTGGTCGGGGTCGCAAAAAAGAAAGTCGTCGCCATTTACTGTTTTTTATATCAGCTTTAAATATCACTGTAAGTACTTTCTGGCTTTTCCAATTGTTTTTCTGCGTGTTGAGAAATTAAATTGCTAGGTATTTTGACTTTTTGTTACTTTATAAGCAAGTTTAAGCTAAGATGGAAAAGAACGAAATAAAATGTTTTTTGTTATCTTATTTGAAGCAGATACTTGCTGTTAAACACATCAGACATCTATTTTTTCATTAATATACATACAATCATTTTGTTTATGCATATGATCTACAAAGCTTAAAAATTTTAAATCAAAGTCTGTAAATAGCTTTTATGGCCCTTCTTGTGAGTACAACGCCGCCTATGACTTTTTTGGATCAGGTCTATTAGACTGCCCGTAAAAAAAAAGAAAAAAAATTAAAACTTAAATAATTTTATTATAAATGTAGGTTTTCATCTGCATTATGCTCCCTATACATAAACTCTTGTAAAAATACCTTTTTTTCCCAAAGTAAACCGTTCATTTTTTTAATGGCCAATTTTAGTTTATTGTTATAAGACTCTACATTTTGAGTATGTATGCAAGTATTACAATCAACGAAGCAATATTTATGACGAATTTTTTGATGCTGATATAGATTTGATTTATTTGGTGATGGATAAGATTTCCATTCGTCTGTTACTATATTACTACCAAGAATTACAATCTGATTTATTATAGGTAGTAATATTTCTGCAGGGCGATTTTTAATAATAATGGAATAAACCAAAGCAAAAAAAGAAGTATTAATAATGACTAAAGCCTTATATGGAGATATATGTCGACCTCGACGATTGTTTACATTAAAATTTTATTTTGCCTCGTCGATTTGCACAATAATGTTAAGCCGCCGAAGTTTAATAACTTGTGGTATCCGACCACATAATTTTTAATATTTTTTTCTTTTACAATAATTTTTTTACAATAAATTTTCTAAAATTATATTTTTTATAAGTAAAAATTTGTAAAAGAAGGGCAGCGTAAAAATGAAGAGGCATGAAGTACAATACAATAAGGCATCCACAAAGATGGATACAGGAATTAATAAACAAGTTGGTTTTAAAAATTACAAATTTATCTGCTTCCTCTTGGGGTAATACTTTTGTTTTGGCAGCCTCATTCGGGGTTACCACATAAATATACTTATATTGCAAAGTTGCTGGTTTTTAATATGTTATACCTAGATAATATAATTATGATTTCGTAGTTGCTCATCAAGGCAATTTTGTCCCTCAAATTTCGTTTCACTTAAGGATTAACCAAAAATGTGAAAATATAAAAAAAATAACAGGTCCATTAAACATCCTCTCGGGGCGTCCAACAGACCCGACCTGCCCTTTTTACATCATCGGCATTGTAAAGATAGGCCTCATACTCAATCATCAACTTTCCAAATTTTTATTCCAATTTGTTTATTTTTTTGTCATGTCTTATGGGTTAAAAAAATATTTTTTCGGCAAAAACAAAACAGGTATACAGCGACGCATATTAAACAAATCATAATTTGCTATTTTTTTAACTGTATCGAATGCTACAGCGACACATTCTTCACAATTAAATTTTAATATAAAATAAAAACGCATTTTTTTATTCATTAACTCTTTATGGTAAAATGATGAAATTTTTCGATAAAAAATTGGGGTTAAAGAATCAAATGGTGGATTTTGACTTGATTTTAATTTTACATAAAAAGACAAATGACAAATTACAAACAACATATTAACATTTAAATTTTTGTTTTTATGCAAATATAAACTTGTAAATTTTTAAATTGTTTTTTTAGTAAATAATTATCGTGTCATTTTAGAAAAAAATTTGTTCAAATATTATTTTCACGATAATTCATAAAATAAAATTCTGGATGTAAAAATTGAGGCAAATTATACAGCAACGACTTGTTTCTTATTTAATTCAATTTTTGTTACTGTGGAAAACCCCGGATCGTCTACCTGTGGCCAAACAAAACCCAACGTAGTTTTCAATAAACTTTCCTTTATTATTTGAGCTATTACTATTCATCTTAATATGGTTCTCTGCCCTTCGCTATAAATTTTATTTATATTTTTTTTAAAGTAGACTAAATTAATTTTCTTTGTAATAATTTTAAAAGTGGTATGCAGAATACCACAATTACAATCAAAACATCGATTAGATTTATTCATTTTTTTACAATAATGTACTGTACTATTTTCAACTTTTTTTCATAACAAAGAATCTGCTTTGCATTGCAAGTAATGACAGAAATCATATTTAGAATTGGGTCAAAAGACGCAGATGCACTAAAAAAGGGGTCCTGAAATTTTTTTTTAGCTTTTAAAATTGGAATTTAAAATGTTTAAAAAGAAAGAACTAAAAAAGCAATTCTGGATAAATTTAAGATAATAAATATACGTGTGTGTAGGATGGGTATAGATGAAGGCAAAACATTTAATAAAAATAATTTTAAACTTTTTCGTTGTAAAAACAAATTCTGTTCCGCTTATAATAAACAGATTTATATTTGGAGGGAAACCATTTCTGAAGATTTAAAAATTTCTAAATTTAAGTTTCTAAGAACATTGAAATTGTGACTTATCAAAATCCACCATTTTCTATCTCTTATATCGTAAGAGTTGGCAAAAAATGTGTATATAGAACTATCAAAAGAATTTCCTTGTTTTTAACTGAAAATTTTTACAAAAACAATAATTATACTGGCGGTGAAGATGAAGTTATTGAAATAGATAAATTTAAAATTCGGCAAAAGAAAATATAGCGGGGGTCCTCCTGTAAACAATATTTGGATTTTTGGGTTAGTTGAGAGACAGAACAAAAAAAAGTTTTATTATTTTAGGTCGATGACAAAACCAAGTCAACATTGCAATTAAAAATTAAAAACTCCTTTGGGTCGGTTAAACTATTTTTAGTGATTATTGGAAGGGGTATGATGGTTAAGATGACCAAGGATTTATTATCAAACTGTAAATCATAGCAGATTTTTTAAGAATCCTGAAATTAGATTACATACAAATACTATTTAAAGTACTTGGTCTACATTAAAAAACATTGTACCATATAAATGTAGAACAAGAAGTTTAATCAATCATAATTAAGTAAGATGAATGTTAATCAAAAATTATGAAATCTAATTTTCTATCTGCCCGAGAAAACCTTAATAATTGAAAGGGGAAATACTATGCATTGCATACTGAAATATACATTTATTGGGATAAAATAAAGAATTTAAAAAGTATTTAATTTATAGAAAGTAAAGATATTAAACTTAAGATTGCAGTTGATTTAAATTTGTTTTTGAACATTAATTCTGATATTAATAGAGGAGGCCGCGCTTTGCTTACGCCATCCACTGATTTAGTTATCCGTTTCATTTAATTCCAAAAAGACACAATTTTTTGAGTATGAGCACCGGAGTTTGAATCAACAAAATAGAGTTTATGATTAACAGTTTCATGTTGGAATCTAAGATTTTGCTCAATGTTCTGATATACAGCCCAACAATCAAAATGAATAACAGTGCCAGATTTACAAACTTTTTTATTATAGGTAATAAAGTTTCTTCTTTCCGATTTGGTACAATTTTCATATAACATTTAGCTGGAACAAACGAAGTATCTGCAATTCCAAATATTTAAACATTACTTGAAGGGGCACAAACACGACAATGCTTTACTTTGTGCATAAAACAGCTTTAGTCAGTTTGGTAAATTATCCATGATCCACCAAGTTTTACTTGTTCACGGGCATAATATCTTTGAATAACCATTCTAATCTTCGTGATAATTTTGATAAAACTTTTTTAGAAAATTCGTAAGCAGATAAAATATTTTTAAGGCTTCTTCCTTCGGACCACAAAATTATAACAGTAAACAAATTAGTAATGGAAATCTAAATCTTTTAAAAAATGAATGTATTCTAGTGTTTTTTGTGTTTCTATACTTACAACAGAGATGGTTGTCACAAGCCCAGTAGATTTCATCTAATGTACCTCTAAGTCTTTCAACCATATTATTCGCACCATTTTCACAATGTAATTTAGATACAAGAAGACTTTTATTTTAAAATTCGAGCGACTTCTTCAACACTCATAAATTGAATAGTCATCAGATGCTCAAATCCTGTGGTGTTGTTTCTAATTTCGGGGGTATAATTTTTTTTTAAAAAAGCAGGTTTCCTATTTGACCGCCGCGAGCAGATAAAAAATCAGATCCAAATTATGATAACCACTCAATAATTAGCTGCCGTTAAATAATATTAAATCAAATTCAAGATAATTTTTTTTTGCTTTTTTTTCTACATTTTTATTTTTATTTTTAAAAATCTAAAAAAAAATTTAAAGCCGCCTTTTTAGTGCATCTGGGTATACTGCTCCTTAGATTTGTTTTTAATATTATTTGACTTTCAAATAATATATGTATTTTGTATAATTACTTTTAAAAGTATATAGAAACTTCTTGATTTCATCTTTTAGTGTTTCTAGGAAAATATGTATTATAAGATTGATTAAATGGCTACATATTAAAATGAGCCCCGATAAGAAATATTTTGATTGGGGTCATTACACTACCCGGTTTTAGAATAAAGACTTTAAAAATTGCAAAAAAAGTACTTAAAATGTTTATTATAGGCTCTAAATTTGTCTCTCCCTATTAATTCACAAAATATAAATTTACTTAATTATACTTTTCTATGGTCTAGGGTTGATCCTTTTACTTTTTTATCTCAAGTTTGATCTTATTATTGTACGGCTCGGCATTTAAAGCCTGAACTCGAGTTTGAGGATCAACAAAGCGATGCTTATAGCATACAGTATAATGAGTGTAGAACGAGGAGGCGGCCAATGAACTAAAAAATTTCCATTTATCAGAATAAATAATAATATCAGGAGTTATAATTTTGCCAATAATTGGCATAAGAGTTGCGGCCGAATAACTATTTACTATAATTATATAACCTAAGGCCGGGCCAACGATGTGTCTACGGTGACAAATGCCTCAAAACTTGGTAGATTCTGATCACGATGATTTTTAATGTTATAATTTAGTTTTGTTTCGCCGATTTATATTTATTCCCGGCTCGCCCAACTGTATAAGATTATTTACAAATAGTTACTGATTTTTATAGCCATTATTTTTTTAGAGTTGTTAGAGGACCGCGCTTTATACAGCTAGATTTTATATAGCATTAAATTATATAACTATAGATATATGATAGAACTCTTTCAATATACCCCTTTTCAATTCTTAACTACAAAAAAACAGGCCTTTTCTAATTGAGATGGATATTAAGGTAGTTGATGCACTTACAATTCATACACCCCCAAGCATATTCATCGATGTGTTGCACGCCGAACTAAAAGTTCGTGTTTAGATAGCAATAAACACCCTTGCTGGTTGTAAACTACTTTGTACCTAAAAAGCAGAAAAACAGCT